CAAGCTTTATTTCAATTATCTTGCACTTGATCCAGGTTGAGAGTAAACCTGTGGTTCAAGCCCAGAAGCTACCTTCTAAGGTCAAGAACTTCAGAATGACCCAATTTATGCATAAGGTAGGAAGTGATACTTAGTGCTCTCCCCCCACCCCAAGGAGAGAACTGGGATGGGGGTGGGGGTGGGGAGGGGGAGGGCAGCTTTTAACAGGCAATTCTAATCAACTTAGCAGACTATACTTCATCCACACCATCGTGCCTCATCTCCACAGAATTTTAAATGTCTCCAGCAATTGATAGTCACACTGCCTCTCTGCCTCACCCCCAAAATGAATACATAAGAGATGAAAAATCAGTTGCTAAAGGCAAAGGGCCGGGATTTTGATGAGTAGTTCAAGTCAATAATGTAGCTTAGAGGAAACGCGGGTTGCAGCAAGGGCGGTTCGTATGCGACAGGAAGGCCGTCCGTGAGTTAGGATGGTAGGATATTGTCAAGACGACACACTGCCTAGGATTTATGGAATGGTCGAATGGATTACCTCACAAAAGCCCTGTGAGGTGGTCCCATTGGGTCTCCATGGCAGAGTCGAGCCACGGATGCTTAAAGAGAAAGGGTAGGTGACATGTCCACAGTCCACAGTTAGCAAGTGATAGAGCAGGAAGTCCAACCTAGAACCCATTTGCTTGACCACTCTGCTGCCCAGAATCTTCATGGATCTCCCAAACCTGTTTAGAATAGGCTCGGGGTTGGATCTGAGTCAGACTTGTCTTTGCTGTGGGAAGGGGCTAGAAGACCTGACCCCTACCCACCTCCCCGGAGATACCGCCTTTCCCTGAGGCCTCTCGGTTTTCTCCCCTTTCTCCTTCTGTAGAACACAAACACCGACGTTACTTCACTCCCTTTGGTGGAAACCAAGGAGAAGAAGACCATGGTCAACTTCCCACGCCTCAGCAATAGAGGCCTGCTGAAGTCATCCCTGCTGTACCAGGTGAGCCCCGCACTGTGAACCGCTTCCGCCCAGAACCAAGTTTCCAAAGGCAATTCGGGATGGTGGGAAAACACGGCCTCAACGGGAGAGGTGGATGCTAGTCCTACGCTCGCTCTTCACGATGCTACCTTGAGCAAATAGGTTGTTGGCTTTTCTTAACCTCGATTTCCTTATCGGCAAATTGGACTTGCCGCTGGGTTGGTGTAAGGACTCACTAATAAAAGGAGAAATGAGGTGTCTGACACATAACTGGTGGACATGCCTGCAATCCTGTCTGAGTCAGCATTGCCTCGATGGCAGCGAGTGAGACCCTCTGCCTTGGCTTTTTTTGGTAAGAGGACCAAATGAGATAGTCCATGGGAAAGGGCCAACACGGGGTGTTATACCTGGGTAAGTAAAGGGGTACTGCTGTAGGGTTTCACTTCAGACATACACAGGCTTATTCCAACCAAAATGTTGTTAGACATGTCTCTCAGTAGAGAGTCTCAAAAAGGAATCATTTCTAACCAGTAGCTTCTGCGGGGATTCTGCTGGGTCAGTGCAATGCAAGAGAAAGAGGTCGGCTACGGCAACTGTCTCTTAGAATTCCCAAG